CGCACCCCATCCCATGTTGGATGCATCTGTCGTAAGAGTCATCGTGGGAAGTGGAGGAGGAAAAGGCAAACCTTGACTCAGGTTGCTCCAAATTGTCCACCAATGAATGTGGGGGATGATTGGCTTCAGTATTGGTATGCTCCTTGACGAAGGATGTTGACTGGGTCGAAAATGAGCCAAAAGATGTATTTGAATTGGCCGCATCCTCGGCGACACCATGGGACTCGATCGACCAGACTGGCCATTAGGCCCAGCAGTTGTAGCCAGGCCACCGCTGGTGCTGATCGAGCCGTCAGGAACAGGTTGGCGCACTCCTGGACATTGTGTACTCGTTCGCTCGAAGGGTAAGCGATCCCTGTTACCAGGTCGATTTCTGCCCCTAGAAAAGACGGTGTCTGGGTGGGGACCAGATGAGATTTTTCCAAGTTTATCAGAAACCCTAACCTTGTCGTCAAGTCGACGGTTACTTCTAAGGACTGTCGAACTTCCTCTGTGGACCTGCCTACGATTACCAATCGTCCAGGCAGAGGAATATCATTATATTCGCTCTTTAAAGTATTGTCGCCAGGGTCTTTGTTACTCTGGTGAAGACCCTTGGTGATGTTGACAGACCGAACGGAAGAGTGAGGAACTTGAAAATTGTATTTTTGTATTGAAAACGAAGGTATTTTCTGTGTTCCTTGCAAATGGGTACGTGAAGATAAGCATCCTGCAGATCTATTGATGCGGCCCAGGATGGTGTTGGGAGAGAATTTAAGACGGTGCGCAGGGTCTCCATTCGGAACCGCCGTGGACGAATAAACCTGTTCAACGGCTTTAGGTTCAGAATAGGACGCCACTCGCCTTGCTTCTTCTTGGGTGTAAGGAAGAATGTTGACATGAAACCTGATGTTTCTACTGGGCTTTGAACCGGTTGAATTGCTTGTTTTGATAGCAGGGTTTCTATTTCTTTCTCCAATGCCCTCCGCTGTTCTCTGTCTGATGGAACAGGGGTGGGACGTGAGAACATTACCGATGGAGGAGTGCTTGTAAACTCTAGGCAGTATCCCTGTGTGACTGTCTGAAGCACCCACCCATCGGTGCAAAAGTGGGCCCAAGTCTCCCCGAATTGCCTTAAGCGGCCCCCCACGGGCCCAATCTGGGGGGCCACGGGTGGAGAACCAGCGTCACCGACGCCATCCCCGACCCGCTCGAGAAGATTCTGGCGGGAGGGAAACCGCGTGCCACGACCTCTTGAGGTTGGCCAGCCAAAACTCCTTCCGGAAGTTGCCTGCGATGTTGTTGCGGTTGTTGCTGGTGTTGATCGAGCCACAGCGGTTGATTGGGTAGACTTGGGTGTCTGAAAGGAGGGCAAAGGTTTTCTAAACCCTTTGGACCTATTCGAAGTAGTCGGGACCTTAGCTGTTGGTTGTGATTCTTACGACGGGCCTGTAAATTAATACGGTCTGTTGCTTCTAGACGTTTGGCCTCGGCCTCCATCATCGTCTGGAACTGATCCGCAAACAAATCCTTGCTCCATAAAGGAAGGGCCTCCATGCGTTTTCTTGCCCCTTCTGAAGGAAAGAAGATCGTTTCTAGAACATTGCAATATGGAACGTCTGGAGACCGTGGCAAGTACAGAGACCCTAGCAAATTGGTCTAGGATGATGCGTAATCCATCCTCCAGACATTGAAAGGCATTGACAGCCATTGCAGGAGAAACACTGGAAACGGAATCACATGCAGTAACCAAGTATTCTGACAAAAGAAGCATAAATGAAGTCGTTTGCAGACCCATGCGGGATGCTGCATCAACCTTATGTAATGCCTCTTCAAGCTTATTCCGGACAGGATCGGCAAAGGGAACTTTAAGTGATTGTTTCCCTGTATCTGCCGCCATCTTGTCCTTTGCATTGTCTGGGATAACCGGAACTGTTAAAAATTCTTCAGTATCCTGCTTTGGAACCCGAAAGGGATGACATGCTGCCTTGGCAAAGGGTTGCCATTTTTTCTGACCAGCTATTGTTTTAAGACGGTTAGAAAAAACCCTGTCCACTGGGAATTCCGGAAAGGTTGACTTCGGGGAATCCCGCTCTGGTACACCTGTGCGTTTCTTAAAACTAGGCCGTGTACCTTGTGAAGATTCTGACTGTTCGGGAATGGGAACCTTTAATATACGAACCATATCCCACATCACTTCACGAAATCTATTATCGGTAGTCTCATAAGGATGACTCCTGGTAGAATCCACGTCGGACGGCTGATCCACCGAAGATGGACCCGGCTGGGACTCGAGGTTACCCTTAGGTGTTGCCTCGTGTGTATCTACAGCTGTAGAATGAGTAGGTGAAGGTCTATTGGCGTCTCAGCTTGAGGGGGAATTGGGAGTTGTTGTTGCGCCAACGCCGCCAACTGAGCCGACAAAGCCTGAAAACCTTTCAGCAATAAATCCGATGTATTGTCTCTCCGCCCGCGTTTGCGATGACGTGGGTGGTCCGATGACTGGCCAGAAGTCGGCGACGTACTGGCACTGTCGCTCGTTGAAGAGCTAGAATAACGGTGGCGGCGGGATTTATGGGCCCGGCGCCGTTTATTCTTGGGCCATGATCGATTTTCCGATCCACGGCGACGAGCCATTAAATCAGAAATTCCCGAAGGAACGTGTACAATCATATGGAGGTGTGTATTGTTACAGTGTAAAACTTTATGATGATTTTCATTGTGTTTTTTTTCCCTCATTCCCCCCTCCCCCCAAAAAACAAACAAAACAGGTTAGGTAGGGCGTGGCAATATTAGGCCTAATAACCGGCAGCACACCTTTTTGGCCTACTGTGTGTTTTCTAGTTTGAACATTTTATTCCTATATGTACTAACTAATATTTAGTAATGAAAATTGACTGAATTATGTATCGCAGGACTTGTTTGGAGCCAGTGCCTCTTCACGATGGCCTCAAAGATGAGTAAAATCACCTTGCAGGCCTTGGTTATCTCTCCAAATGGTATTGAATTGAGCATGGATGAATTCAGCCCCCTGTTCCCAAGGCCTCCTTTCCAGCAGGTCATGCAATTAAGGCACAATAAGGCTCCAAAATGTGCATCTTGGAGGTCAGTTTCTCCGAAAGAACTGGAGGTACCGGTAGGCCTATGCCTTTACGTGTTTACCTAAATTGGGATACAGTTGCAATATTAAAAAGAGAACGGTTCATTCTTTCAGGAATTTGCTTGAAAACAGATGCAGTTTCTCAATTGGTGGTGTATTTTAAGTAGTTTCATTCAAATGTAACCACATGCATGTTTAGTTAGTCTTGTTCCTATGTTTAATTCCATTTTTGCCAATCGCAGTAAGTATGTGGCAGCAGTAGAGATCGCTCAGCAACAAGATGAATCAAGTCCAGTGTTGACAATGTTGGCAGCACCACCGAGGAAATTAGGAGTATCTTTTACATGAATTTCTTCAGTGCTGTCAATATTGTCACAACTGGATGGGGGGGGGGGGGGGTAAGGGGCACACGTCCCCTCCTCCTCCACAACAAAAAAAATCGTTTTCCCCCATTCAATCCCCCCCCCCGGAAAATTTGCATTTGCATGATGTATGAACTGGGCTTTAGTCAATTCTTTGTTAAATTTATTTGTGGGTCCTTTTTATTGGGGGGGGGGGGGGATGCGAGGAATGTTTCAGTTGGCCATTTCTGTATAGGAATTTATGTATTCAGTTATGAACAAATAACAATACATTTGCATTAATATGCAGACTTGCAGCATTTATGACCTTAAAATATGTCGACTTGTTGAATTTTGCAGATAATTTTTGGCTGTGTGATGAAATAAAGAATTACAATGTAAGTTAATTTTAATTATTGTCTAATGTTTGCACATTTTTGGGTGTAATTTATAAACTGACTGTCCACCAGTGTTAAATATTGTTGAAAAAAAAAATCAATTTTATTTTCGTCTTCACATATTTTTCGTCTTTAACAACCTTTTTATGTTAAAAATGCTTGTAATATTTCTGCTGTCCGTATTTGTTGTTTCACAAAAATGCTGCTCATCAACCTTTTTACGTCAAAAACACTTCGACTTTTTCTGCTGTCCGTATTTGTTTCTTTGCCTACTTACAATCGCTATTTTGGAAGGAAACCTTCGTTGTTTTTCCCCGATGCGATCAGCAAGCCTTTGCCCGCTACACAGTGCAGTCACGCATGCTGATACTGCACGATATATGGCCAGTATTGGCCAGTGGCTATCGTTACTAGCATTGTGCATAGTGGTGTGCACAGCTTAAATTATCCGTTATTTTTAAGAATCATCGACCTTATATATATTTTACATTCATTAAGGCAAGGTAAATAAGGCAAAATACGCAAAACTAAAAAAACATTGGCCTAAGCATAAAAAGCTAACAGAATTTAGGATTTTTTGCTTTTTTGTGGTGACGTATTATTTTTTTTCATGCAAGAAGTAAATGTGTAAACTTAATCTGAAAATATTTTCTTTGGACAAATTTTGGGGTTGACAATTTGAACAGAAAAGCAATTTACTTGAGTGTGTGTTTTAAATGACATCACATCAACATTAACAGCACCCTCAGTTGCCAAGAAAGTATGTTACAGTTTCAATGTTTAAAAGTGTGCAAACCCCTAAAAGGATGTCCGATAGTTTTCCTACTATTTGAATACTAATCATCACAACTTGTATCTGGGTACTTTTTGGGTGTTGAAAGTCTACCGACTCTGTGCACAAGTACTCCCTAAATGGTCACAAAGGGAGAGTTAGCGGAAACCAATGGGAGGGACTCTTGAACACACTGACATGAATGTAGATCATGCCATGAGTTTGTTCACATTCACAGTGCACGCATGCGGTGCGTTCCTCCCACTGGAACTCTGGAAAGTGGTTACAAAGCACCATCTGCTGTTCATGCACAGAGTCTATAAGATTCCGCATAGTTAACAGCAATATCTATTGTATTGACCTTTTGTGTAAATTATTACTAATATGTTGAAAAGGTTTAGTCTACATACCTGAATAACATCCTCCATTGCCTCAAACAATTCTAGAAGTTTATTAAAGCCATAGTCACCAACTCGACACTGACGTCCAAAGTGATGGTGATAAGTTGGGATGAACTTTGAGAAGAGAATGCGGTAGCGAGGCTGACTGGAAAGGAGGTCCACTACTTCCCTACTGAACTTGCGCATACGAATCAGCTCTTCTCTACTTTGCTCTTTTAAAAGAATAACAGTAAAATATCATAATGGCACAATTTGAAATCTATAAACTGTAAAAGTATTCTATTTAAGAGTGGGGAGTGTGGCCTAGTGGTTAGGATTCGTGACTCTTGATCAGAGGGTCAGGGGTTGGAATCCAGCTGCTGGTCATATGCTGCGTCCTTAGGCAAGCCACTTCATCCCCACTTGCCTCTCTCCACCCATGAGTATAAATGGGTACCAGCATTAGCTGGGGAGTAACCTGCGATGGACTAGCATCCCATCCAGGGGGATTAGAAATATTCCCAGTCATTTCATGCTACACGGAAACTGGAGATAAACACCGACCTGATGGGCCACATTGGCTTGTGACAGACTTTACTCTTACTCTAATTCAAATAGGTATTTATGATATTTTCAACGTACTTCTTCCATTGTTAAAGTAAAAGTGAAATTTTAATTATCTTCTAATCAGTGTACAACAGCACAAAACCTGCAAAGCCCTCACTCTTACCCCGCTTTGGTATGAAGATCAGTGTATCATCTCCATTCCAGTTTATCTGTACAAAAAAAATGAATAAACTCAAAAGAATGTGATGGAACACAAATGTGTGTTTAATATTAAATTGCCAACTGTATGGTTCAGCAATATAGAACACTGAGTCGCCACACTTTGCATACTGGAGAATCCTAGTTTTGGATGGTTTGATTGGTTTTATGCACAAGTGTATGGCAAAGAGAGATTCTATTAACCCTCCTAGTGGGAAGTCAATATTCAGAGCAATATGTAAAACCCTTTAAATCCCTGCAGGTCAATTTCAGGCAAAGGGCTACAAAGTTTGAAGTAACTGTGTCACACAGACACTGCACAAAAAATGAACAGCACTGTCGAAAGTAGTGAAGCAGGAACTTCATGAAGCTTAAGCTCTGCTTGCCCAGAACTGTGTATCCATACTCCACAGAAGATTACCTCAAAGGAATTGAAAAGTGGTTTTGCAAATTTGAAGGGTTATGAAATGCAGAAGACAAGGAGGGTTAAATTAAGTCACTGTTGGGCTAGGATTAATAGGCAGATAATTGTTTGGTTCTCTAATGATTAGGACAAATAATAAACTCTTGATTATGGTGGAAGAGCATGGTAAATTATCACAAATGATTCATAAAGGAAACGTTCCACTAGAGAGAGAGGGAGGCCAGCAGGGTATTTCACTAAAGTCTCATTCTGCAATCATCATTATGCATCCAGCAAACTCAATGCTAACCGCAAATCCATCGCCATTGTGATGGCGTCGAGTTTTCATTTCACTAAATCCGTAGCTGTTGCGATGACGAAAAAGAATAATAAAATGAATTGTTCAAGGCTAATGGCTATGGCCTTTGACCTTGAATAGTGCGAAAATGGCCCACACAACAACTAGCACAAGCAAGGTATGGTGTTAAAAAAAGGTACAACGCTCTCATTTCAAATACAATTAATGGCTTCTGCGACATAATACAACTAAGTAACATACCAAGTTACAACCAAATTGGACATTCAGTTCTGTAAATATAGGCATTTGAAATTTAATTTTCTTCTATAACCCATCACAGTGTAGGTACATACCAAGTTACAACCAAATCAGACCAATAGTTCTGTAGATATCAGCCTTAGAAAATGCACCTATAATGTGACGTCTCGTGACACATGCTGACGTTATCATGATGTTACTTCAATGTTCATCTATAACACATCCCAGTTTAGGTACATTAGATGCTATTGTATAATTACAGGGGCACGTGACAAGAGGCGTAACCCCGGGTAGACCCCGCTGCTCCACATATTGGTGGGCAAGCGGGTCCAGAAACTCTGCATGTTAAGGTCGTCAACCATGCGGTAGCCTTAACATGCTAAACGAGTTGAGGACCCCGTTACGGGGGTTCGTGTTGTATTGAACCACAGCCCACCAGTACATAAATCTGTTCAGGGGCTCTAAGCTTAAGATGGGGCACCAAAAGCCGGCCTCATTCCTGAATACCAAGGAGGTCATCCTAACCCCGATCGGGTCTCCCCCAAGGAAAGTACGGGTATTGCCATCCTTCGAGGGAGCTGATCTCCCCTCCACGGAGCAGCAGTTTGTTGGGTCAGACGGTATTGACGTCGACCAAACAAGCATGTCCTACAGGGGTGCTCGAGAAATTGAGTGCGTAACTGCGGCTGATCGAATCGAGCACTCACTGGTCTAACGCAAGTAGATCCCATGACACCGCAAAGTCCCGATGACAGGCTCCCACAGGTCAGACGGCGGGAGGTCGTCATGGGTTGGGCAAGTTACCTACGCCAGCCCCCGGGATAACATGGGGTAGGCGTCTGGAAAACCATGGCCAGGTTGGGGCCGTTGTTGCCGGTGAAAAACTGAGTCTGCGCGGTGCGCGTGATCGATGACCGGTCTAATTCTTCTTACTCTTCTTTCCCGAAGAGTGGCCCCGGGGTACATCCGGTGAAAATTTGGGTGACGCCTGGGGCAACGGGACCCCCGAGCAACGGATAAAAAAATGATGTCGAGGGCGGTTCCTCAGAGCAAGATACTATAGAGCTAGCTGCCCTGAGGTTCCCCAGCGGCCCGCTCTGCATCGCCCATGTCATACCGCACCGGCAGCACCTCAAGACCCATGAGTTGGGTGAGCGCCGTACAGTGTGGAAGCCCGTACAAAAATCCGTTCCGGCACCCTGTGGCATTCAGCACTGTGCTGCGGGACACAGGTGATTCAAAATCACTACTGAATCGTGGAGGCTCTTCAAACCCACTGAACCGTGGAGGCTAGTCTCTTCAGACTGCCCCGTGTTCGGGGATGTGACGGAGGGTGTAGTAAAGCCTGTGTCTGGGGGACACTGGTGATTCAAAACCACCACTGAACCGTGGAGGCTCTGTATGAATCATGTCATACCCAGCCAACAGCGCCTCAAGCCCCATGAGTCGGTCGTGCGATGTCCAGTCCGGTAGCCCATACAAAAACCCATCCCGGCATCATTTAGCGATCGCCACTGTGCTGGAGGATACGGGTGAATCAAACCGTGGAGGCTAGTCTCTTTAGACTACCCCGTGTTCGGAGATGGGAAGGAGGGTGTAGTGAAGCCCGTGTCTGAGCTACGTTTACCCTGCTGCCGCGTGTTAGGTTTGGCACCGGCACAGGAGTTAAGCTTTGGAGTAATCTTGCCAGAACGCCACTTCTGTCTGGTTATTCCATTTAAGTTGGCCAGAGATGGGGACCGTTTGGGGTACCTTACCTGGCCAATGTAGGAACTGTCAGCGCCAGCATCTGATGAGAAATTCGGATGATGCCTGGGAACTGGGACCCCGAGCAAGGGAAAAATCTGATGCCAAGGGCAATCCCTCATAGCGAGAAATTACAGGACCAGCCGGTCCGAGGTATCCCCGGGCGGCCCGCTCAGAATCGCTTATGTCATGCCGGCCGACAGCGTCTCAAGCTCCACGGGTAGAGCGAAAGATGACTGGTCTGATGGCCTGTACAATAGTCCGTCCCGGCACCCAGTGGTGTTCGACACTGTACTGGGAGGACACGGGTGACCCAAGCCCACTGAAGCGTGAAGGCTAGTCCCCTCGGGCTGCCCAGAGTTCGGGGATGGGACGGAGGGTGTAGTGAAGCCCGGACTCCAGCTACGTTTACCCTGTCGACCCTGTTTAGGTTAGCCCCGGCACAAGTTTTGAGGGAACCTTGCCAGAGTGCCCCTTTCGTTTAGCTGTTCCGCTTAGGCTGACCGGAGATGGCGACCAATGGTCCCCTAATCGGCCAACAGAAACTGCCAGCCCCCGCAGCTGGCAAAGGCTGGGGATGCTGGACAGGAGACTGCTGCCGCGGTAACGACGAAGTGTTAACGGCAGAGTCCCCCGAGAACTCGGTCCGTCCCGTGGGAGAGGAATTCCCCCGGTTGTGACATGGCCAGTTCTCTCCAAAAGCTTCATTACTATGAAATAATCACACAAGACGATACTATAACTCTACTGATCTTTTCTTTAATCAAAATCTTCTCTTACATGTAAGCGATAAGGGTAGCAGAAAATTGATGAGAAATACAGAGCATATTTTATGCACGTCCTACCTGACCAGCCGCAAAGAGAAAATTGACGCTCACGAGGCATACATGCCGCAGGGCATTAGTGGTAGGACACAAGAGGACGCTATTGTACAAACTCTTAGCGTAAATACCTGCCGGCATTGGGAATATGCATAAGTAGATTGCTCTATACGTAAGTTGAGTGACGTAGACCAACCTTTTTGGTTCGGTTCAGTTCAGTATGGTTCGGGAGGACATGTTCGGCTATTTTTAGTTTGGTTCGGCGGCAGCAGTAGTTAAAACTAAAGTTCCATCCAGGAATGACATGTAGTTCTATACATATCGGGATGTGTGCAATTGAAGGTAGTGTCATATATATACATGATTACCAACCTCGTCCCCAGTACTTACTTTATTACCAACCTCGTTTCCAATAGTAAGCCCTGGATCGGAAACTTTCTTTCTGTATCCTGATTCGATACTGCAGTTGGCTATATATCATGTACTTGGTGTTGTTATTTCCAACGTGTACGTGTTTTCACAATCATTGTAATTATAACATCCACGCCTTCTCAAAAATACTCCTTTCCTTTCCAATTTTCTCATACTAATATGAAATGTGATACTGCATATTGGCAGGATAAGATTGTAACATTTTAAATTCCAAAACAATCGTGTTTTCGTAACTCACGGCGCGATGAATTGATTGTTTTTACCCCAAACACCGCATACAAAAACAAACGTTAATGTAATGCACAGGCAGGCACCAGACTATTCCTCATTTGCATATGTGTTCAAAAATTTTGCACATGCAAATGATCCAATACCAGGGTGAGAGAGCAGGTAGCAAGGGCGGATCGGGGGGGGGGGGGGGGGGGGGGGGGGGGGGGGGGGGGGGGGGGGAAGGGGGGGGGAGGGCCATGGCCTCCCCAAAAAACGAAACCAATTATTTTTTTTTTTTAAGTGACGTCGCAATGAAGGCAGGCACTACGTACACCACCATCTTTTCCATAAAAAAAATGGTTAAAGTGGTCAGAAATTGCCTCAGATCGCACCACAGAGCATCTAGAATCCAAAAATTGTTGGGACCCACTTGTTTGGGGACCAAACATTTTTTGGGGGGCCCCCCTCCCCCCCAAAATTGTGTTCTGGATCCGCCCTCGGCAGATAGTGGTGGGTACGTACTGCTCGACACCCTGGGGATGAGGTTGCATGATTACACTCTCATGGGTCTTCGAATTATGCATCTTCAATGTGACGTCGCATGACTTGTGATGACGTCATCACGACGCCACCTCAATTTTCATCTATAACACATTCCGGTCTAGCTACGTACCAAGTTGCAACCAAATCGGACAAATATTTCTTTAGATATAGTCCAAAAATAACGCACCTATGATTAGACGTCACATGACGCATGATGACGTCAGAATGACGTCACTTCAATTTTCATCTTTAAAACATCCCGGTCTAGGTACATACCAAGTTACAACCAAATCCGACCAATAGTTCCTGTAGATATAGGCCTTAGTGAAATGTACCTTTAATGTGACGTCACATGACGTCATCATGACTTATCTTCAATTTTCATCTATAACACATCTCGGTTTAGGTACATATTAAGTTACAACCAAATCGGAGCTATAGCTCTGTAGATATAGGCCTTCAAAATATCACCTTTAATATGATGTCACATGACACGTGATGACGGATGATGTCATGATGACATCACTTGAATTTTCATCTCTAACACATCCTGGTCTAGGGACATACCAAGTTTCAACCCAATCGGACCTGTAGTTCTGTAGATATAGGCCTTTAAAATATGCACCTTTAAAATGCCTTACGTGATAATATCATGACAACAATGTTTGGCACACATCTGCAGGTGCTGGTCTATGTGTATGCTGGTCTAAGTACAAAGGCAATCGAATTGTGCCCAAAGTGCCGTGCATGATGAAAATGTGTACAAGTGCTATGAACAAGAGTCTGAAGGAGAAGCCAAACAAGGAATACAAAAAAAATCTCTAAAAAAAACAAAGGCTGTTTCGGCAAGTTGCCAAAACAACCAATTAAAAAATCAATTAAAACTCATATATGACTATGTATTTAAAAGTTTTAACCAAATTGGCTTTCTAGAACTCTAAAAACTCTAGATATAGAAATTTAAATAATGCACCAAAAGATGACGTCACATGACCAATGATGACGTCATCATAATGTCACTTCTTTTTACAACCAACTTTACCTCTTGGTGCAGCAGATAACTGTAACCATCTTTCAAATGTGGATACAAGCACCAAAATCTGTATGTTTATCCCCCTGGAACCATTTATTTGAACAATCCCATTAGCCACTTGAATTTTCAAAATGGCTGCCATTTATGGCCGCCATTTTCAACATAAACACCTATTTTACCACACAAAATGTTACCAACTTGACAGATTTTGATAATTTTGCTACTGAATCCTATGTTTTTGACTGTGGGGAAGTCAAATTTACCACTCAACAACTTCTTTAGAGCTTATTTGTGCCATTTCTAATAAAGAATGTGAAAATGTATCCATAAAACACCGGAGAATTGCAGTAGAGGAGAGGGGAAGAGATGCACTCGGTGCTGCAACCCACGGGGCATTGTGGATCATGACAGGGAGATGGCAGTGCGAGACCAAGCCAATTCAGGCTCAGAGGAAGATTAGCAGGCTCCCTGACTGCCTAGCTCCTCACTCAGCTCCAGAGATTCAGGCCAAGGATGTGAATCTACGTTTAATTTAATAAACGTTTAGCAAAATTTTCCCGTAGCGTTTAAACGTTTAAACGTTTAATCAAGACTTCAAAAAGACTGCCGCCTGTGTCCCAGTATAATGTGCGGTAACTGCGGTCACAATACTTACTTTGTATATACACTTGTATACACTTTAACCACCCTCTTTTTCCATGTTCTTTTGAAGTCTGCAGACTAAATAAATTAAGAAGAAATGAATCGTCTGCATTCTGCAAGTGTTGTGGAATTAAGTGTCACTTCAAGCAGAAATGTCAAGGCCTGAGGAAGATCGTTTATTTGTATTTTTAAGATCCGATTTTCTTAAAGAAACAAAAACACCTTTATTTAACGGAAATGCAAACTGCATCCAAATTCCAAATTCCAAAATATGAAAAACTTTGCCTGCACAAATTTCCCGAAAGCGGCAGCATTCTTGAGCTGCTAGTTTTCTGCAGGCTGCCAGAAAAATAGTCATATATTTCTTGCTACGCAACCGGCAGTCCCAGCCCAGGCATCACAGGGGAGCCTCCTAATAACATTATTTCTAGGCAACCAGGTTGGAATGTGATACTGGGCATGCAGCCATGCACCTGTGGCTCAGATAGCTAGAATTCCAACATGGGCCACCACTCAAGTTGCGCGTGGAAGGAACGTCATATTCATGAAAGCAAACGGACCGTGATGAAAGCAACCAATGGCGTATTTAGTTGACGGGAACCAGCTCATTTCATTGGCTGAGATACTATCATCACTGTTTATCATCTAAGAAGCTTGCAATTACTGGCGGCAAGTCATCAAAGGCCTTAAAGTTCGATGGCCTACAGCTGAATCCAACCGTATATACTTTGTAGCAACAACAGCGGCATTGTATCAATTTGAACAATGCCGCTGTCAATCATTCTCTGAAAAGGCCTTTTTTGGAGCTGGATTTTATTTGGGATTTATTTTTTCAAAGGCCAGGGGAAAAGTTTATACGAAAAGTGAGGGAAACTGAAATAAACATGGAATTCACCCCTGTAAAGGCCTGTATCGTGTACATGAATAAGTGGTAAATAAATGGGTTTTCTTTTTTGTCGTTTTTGTTGTTGTTGGGGGGATATTCCAAATAATTTATTGAATGCACGTCTTTTTTAAAACTGGACTGAAGAACAAAATGCCCAGTATTGCTAGTCCAGAATTTATACTAATTACTAAACCAATTTGACAGGGGCCGTTTTTTTGACGACTGCGTTACCATTAATTGCCGTTGGGGAAAATGTTAACTGACAAGAATTTTAAAAAAGTGTCTTGACCCATGGGCCTGTATTTTACGTCCTACATGCATCCTTTGGTCGTCATTCGTCAGGCAAACATGTTAAAAAATAATAAATATCCAACAATTTTATTTTTCGATGTAACTTTTCTATCCAGGAAGGTTTTTAGCTAATGATACTAGCAACATTTAATAATGTTCCTAATGAGGTAGATTTTTTACGTATCACAATATTTTTAAGGGGGAGGGGTGCACTTTTCTCCACAGAACAATTCAACAATTATAGTTGCAGTCGCAGTTCGGCTGTGGGAATTAAATACTTGAAATCAATGAAGATAGCACGTTAGAATTATACAAACAAATAAATTCAGGGTTCAGACTTCAGAAACTACATTTTTATTTCTTGAAGCAAAATAAAACAACACATATCAATATACAGGCATGCAACTTGAAATTAACAAAAAACGAGGAAATTCCAATTTTTACAAGACTTTGTACAGTGTTTTTCAATTTTCAATGGCCTAATTGTGAAATGAAAAACGAGGAAATCAGCTGATCCGAGGAAAAGTTGCATTCCTGCAATATAACAAACAACAAGACTACAAGTCATGGACTCATTGTCCAAGGTCAAGTTTTTGAAACAGAGATTAAATAATGAAAAGGAATTAAACATTTAACAGTTAACTTAGCATGTTGTCACCCCACCTTTCGTCGCAAGGCCAGTACTGATTAAACTGTTATATTTAACATCATGAAATATCACTTCCTTTTTTTGGTGCAAGGGGGATTTTACGAAAGCTGTAAACCGTAAATGGCAATGTAAATCAATTAAATTTTCTTTTCATTTTTTTTACTCTTTGATCACTCATTCCCAGCAAATAATGAATAACAAAAACTGAATGAGTTATGCCAGCCTATAGGTCTACCAGGTTTGAAATGAACTTTTGTTCTGAAACTCAAACTTCAAAATGATATTTATTTTTCGACATATTTTGTTTTAAAAGTTAAGTTATGCTAAGTAAAACGCTTGTTGATTCAAAACTGGACGCCAGTCTACAGTTGATCCTTCATCTTGTTAAGGAACACCTATTGACATTTTCTGGAAGTAGGAGACTTCTCTTGCTATTGACAATGTTCCCAGCAGCCGAGGGTACTGAGGTTGCAGGGATGGCGAGGAACTTCTGTGCTAGCCTTGACAGAGTTGGGAAAAGCTTACTGTTATCTCGCCACCAGTTCATGGGGTCTGTCTCATTGTCCAGTGGGGGACTACGCATGTACATATCAAACTCTGACTGAGCAACTGCAGCCACATCGACATTGGATTTTTCACTGGCTCCGCTGGTTCCAAGTAAAAAGTCCTTGCCAGATGCTTCTTTGGTCTTCTTTGCTGGTGGTTCTTTCGCTCCTGTGTGGCCAAAATAATTACTGCCATTTCTTCCTTGACAGCACAGAAGGGAAGATCTCGGTAGTCTTCGTCCACAAAGGAAAGATGCTTGTACCGTGGATCTAGTACTGATGCCAACATAGGAGGCCCGGTCAGGGCCTCCTCACCCTCAGAGCAGAATCTATGCTCGAGATCCCTGGCCACTACTATCTTGAACTCAGTAATAGGTGCAGAGTCGGCTTCTAGCGGCTCCATGTGGTTCCTCACCAAACCTCTAATAATTGGATGGACGATAGAGGCGCTAACATTCTTCTCCGCTGACAGCACTGTTGTTGCAACCTGTGTGGAATAGAAGATCACCCTTCATTATTAATTATTATCAACCATTTTGTGTCACACCTTTATGATCAGTCACCACGCATGCTCATATTTCGGAATCGTTTCAGCGACATTTTTCAAAGATAGCACGGACAGTCTGGCAAACAGCCAAGATGCTATTTTAGCTCTAAACATTTCTTTTAATTTTTCTTTGCATGCATACACTGATGATCTATCGTACCTGCAAATGTAGCAGCAATTGTTGTTGTCCATGAATTAATGCGCCCATTGCATTAAATTATCGTTTACTTATCCTGTACTTTTTGTTCGTTCCATTCCACATTTTACAAGTGAACAACGTTGGTAATGCAAAAACGGGTAATGCAAAAACGGGGTGGGGCATCTAACATTAATTTCGGTGGGGGTAATTTTATAATATACCATACCTGAAGAGGTTTGAGGCACTTAACTAACTCGCCCATGAGGTTCCACTGCTCTGACTTCAGATCCAACGTCTGCGCATCAGATAGTTTTGTGTATTGTCTGTCGCTGAGGATGAAGCAGACTGGCCAGCGATTCTCTAGGAGTCATTGCAGCATCTCAAAAACTGAATTCCAGCGTGTCTTGCACGAAGATATTAGGCGATGCTTTGGAGTGTCCATTTGCCGCTGTTTAGATTCAAGGGCTTTTGTGGCCACATTGCTGTGTTCAAAGTGACCGACAAGACGCTTTGCACCACCGATGACAGTTTTGATGCGGCTGTTGCAATCCAGGCCTTTGTTCACGCTTAACTGCAAGGTGTGAGCGGCACATCCAACATCGCTAACCTCCATATTGGATAGAGTTCCAATGTCCTTCGTGTTGGATGCATTGTCGTGAACTACAGCGCTGACCTTGCCGCTTAGTCCCCACTGATTGACGACTTCTTCAAGCTGGTTGGAAAGGGCTTGAGCTGTATGACGCTGCGGGCCTTGTGTTTCTTCTTCTTGATCTTCGTCATCGCTGTGATGAAAAGAGGCAACAAGGGCCGTGTCCAATACAAACGCATGGTGTTTCCAGTCCCGGATAAAGTGGCATGTCACAGTCATGTAGCCCTCTTGACTCATTGATGTCCAGCAGTCTGTTGTTAGGGCGACGCTGTAGGCATCTTGCAACTCCTTATTTAGAGAGTCTTTTTTCTGCTCGTACATCAGATGCAACTGAGTCATTGTTTTTCGGCAGGGTACCTTGTATCCAGGTTTCCAGATACGCCAATAGCTTTCTGAACCCATCTTCCTCTACCAGGCTGATCGGCAAGCTTGCCTGAGCAATTGCTGCAGCTATGAGTTCTGAGATTTTGGTTGCCCTAGGTGAGTTGCAATTTTCCTTCCTTAGGAATGAGGTCATCATTGTCTGGCTGCCGCTGGTGGTTTCATCTGATTCTCGGATGGGTGTTTAATTTTTATATGATTAATCATCGTTCCGGTGGAACCACCTTTGTATGAGAGGGTCGCGCTGCATATTTTGCATTTTACACTATGGTCATTCACTTTTTCAAACGTGTTCCACACTGGACTATTTGATGTGCGAGGCATTTTGTCAAGCAGGAACAAATTGGTTGAAAGGAGCGAGGAACAAATCGAGGAACAAACAGTAGGAACAAATCGAAAGAAAGTGCTGAAGTGTCTGGTGCAGCGCCAATAAATACCCTTACAAAACTTTTGAATTTTGATCTAGCAACGTTTGTGATTGTGAAGTTTATAACGGAAGCAAATAATTTGCTACATTTTCAAATAAACGAAAACCGCAGTCGAGGATGGAGCATCTTTTCGGAAGTCCGAAACAGGCCTATTTAAAAAACAAAGGTAAAACACGCAAATAATCTACGTTGATATCGCTCTTTAAAAAAATGCAATTTCCTTCCTATAATAGATCCTGTAAAGTCACCGCCCCTCAGCTCCCGCCCTGAGATCCAAAAAAAATTTTTTATTTTACCCCCGCCAACACCAAACAAATTCTGGGTCATCGTCATCGATTTCCTTGTTACGGAAGCGGCAGTAACTTTGGATACAGGGAGCGGCGGGCTTATATATACAGCACTTGGGGAAAAAATAATCCCAATGCATCAAAATACATCGTTTTAAATAACGCCTTCACTTGAGTAGCTTACGGGGGAGCGGGGTAAACTTTTTTTTGGGGGGGGTCCTCGCCGGTTTTTAAATCATTATGAAAGTGCTAGCCATTGGTTTGATTACTGCACACACCAAGTGATGATTGCAGCAAATTCAAGTTCAGAGAAAAAATACAGACAAAAAGACAGACTCGGAATTGTTTTAAAACTCAGTATTTTAATAATAAACCTAGGAGAGGCGCCATCGCGCCAGGCATCGATCTTGGCCCAGCGGCGTGTTGAAAACATCAAACACAAGCAATTGTATACACTGTGTATCAATTTGACACAAAACAGTTGCCGATCATTGAACAATGCATCAATAAAACTTCTTGGAACATGATTAACTACTATAAAATGCGTTTCTAATTCTTTATAAATGAAATAAAATAAACATCGTAGATTCTTTGTAAATAAAACTGGAGGGTAGGTTGCGCAAAATACAAGGTCCCATTTTTGAAATTTGAGTTTCGTTTAAATGTTTGGGAAAATTTCTAAACGGATTTGATTTCTTTTTCGTTTACACGTGTAAACGTCACATCCTTAATTCAGGCTCAGGCCTTCAGGCCAGTTTCAGAAGCTCCAGACCATCATGACAACTTCTGACATGCACTCACTCCAAGGAGCACAGTTTGAGCTGACAGCCATCATCAACCACAATGGGACTTAAGACAACGGCGGTCACTATTACGCACTACTCAAAAAAGGTGACAACTTCAAGCCCAAAGTGGTGCCATTGGAGCAGGTATGCAGCCCAGACAACTATCTCTTTCTCTTCAACAGACAAATAACTGTTCCTGTCGCTCCGATCCCTACTCCGACCAGCCCTGAGTCCTCTCCCCCTCAGCGGAAGAAAGCTCTGACCAATGACAAGAGGAGCCGGTTGTTAGTGCCACAGGATGTGTCTGCAGCCGCCGCCCATATCAGTCCACCTCCTACCCTTCAGTCACCAAACAACTTCCCAACCCGACAGCTCTAGATCAGCTCCACCCTCGGGAAGCAGCTGCAGAAAGGAAGAGGTTACAAACCTTCCCCACCCAGCCACCAGATACAAATGATCTCTGGTTCAGTAACAGCCCAGAGACTATACCAGTGGAGGAGCTGGCGGAGGGCACCATCATTGCCAAGGCCTGGCCTGTCGGACAATAGGAGCAAAAACGTTGTGTGGGTTATACCCAAACGAGCGGCGCCGTCAAAGTGTTGAAGTGCTGTTCGTTGCAGTTACGGGTAGCGTCTGGCAACAGGGATGTAGTCAAGGTCCGATGACCAGAGTCAGCAACAATGTTATCACGCACGTCATCAGCAACGATAGGCATGGTAAGGTACTGGGTCGTCTCGTCTGTTAGGAAGGAGTACAAACTTGAGCTTCAAGGAGGGCGCCGCAGTTTGGGTTGGTTGAACAGGGACTGGATCTGCTGAGAACAAACCCAATCGAAGGGAACCACGGGGGGGGGGGGGGGGGGGGGGGGGGGGGGGGGGATCGGGGTGACTAGTGAGTCAAAGAGGCCTCGTCCCCACACCACACCAGGTTCCTTCAGTTTTCCTAAGAAGGCACCACATACGAGTGCCAAGCCCTTCCTTTTGGCTTGTCCACGACCCCTCGGGTCTTCACCAGAATTGTGAAACAGTGGACAGTGCCCTCCTTCGTCAAGGTCTACATGTGTTCATGTGCCTCAACGACTGGCTCATCATCGGCAAATCGCGGGCATCAGCTGCTCACACAGTCTGTCAGACCCGCTCCCTTGCCGAATGCCTGGGTTTCCTCATCAACGAGTCCAAATCCATGCCAATCCCATCTCAACGGCCCACAGAGCAGTCTATCTAGCGGGCACGGACAACACCACAGCCGTCGCTCTTTCCCGGGGCTGGATTCACCCCAAGGAGTGGACACTCCCAAATTCGGTCAGGCAAACGATCTTCTCACAGTTCTCAACAATACTCAACCACCAGCTCCCGGTGTACGGTTCCAGATCTCCAGAGACCCAGATGTGGCGAACCGATGCCCTTTCATTTGTGTGGACCAACCTGTTTGCCTACGCTTTCCCCCGATCTCCCTACTACCCTAAGTAATCGGGAAGATCAAGCAGGACCCATGCAGGGTCCTCCTGATTGCCCCTTTGTGGCCACAACAATCGTGGTTTCACGACTTGTTCGCCTTTTCTATCATGCCCTGCTCCTCCTCCCACAATGGCTAGACATTCTTTGTTAACCTCAGTCGGGTCTACTTCACTACTTATTTCTATAAATAGTGCAGATGGCGTGCAGTGGATTCCTTCGCTACAACTCTAACCGAAGTTGGTGATTTTCTTCTCACCTCTTCCAATCGAGTCTAGCGCTTCGCATCATCCAGCATCCCGTGATGCAATCGCTCGCTGAGTCGTGACGGCCATACGACTCGCATCACCTGACTGGCCTATCCTGAAGTACAGGCCCACAAAGTTTGCAGCGTGGCTACCTCTTGGGGTTTTGTCAAAGGAGTGCCCCTTGCAGATAATCCTACTAGGGGCATGTTGGAAATCCTCCAACACCTTCGATCACCTCTTGTTATCTCGAGGATGTGCTGCAAGCCGACGGCAGAACCAGTCGTGCAGCCTAAACTGCCCCAGCGGCACAACCGGATCCGGTTCCTCCTCCGCTGGCGCCCCACAGTACCAACAACTGATGACCTACCCCATTATGTTAAGAGCCGATTCATATATGATTTACTTTATTGGGTTTAATTTTGTTGGCTTATGGCTCATGCTTCCTTGTGGCCCGCCTTAAACATCGTATACTCTCAAACCCACCTACCTAAAACAGTACTATTCTGCATATGTAGCAATACTCTACGGGTAAGTAGAGCACAGTAGAATCCCCCCACCAAGGTGTGGGCAGATACTACTAGCAAATACTTACCCGTGGAGTGCCCACCCCCTCCCCACTAGTGCCGCGAATACTCTACCACTTACACCACCATGCATGTTAGCCTACCTAGCGCTCTTATAGCAGATTTTTTTATTGCATGGCTTATATATGGTACAAAGAAGCTTCTACATGGTTACAAATGTATGATTCAACACCAAGATCATTCATTTAGGCCACGTCTAGGTGATTTTATTGCAAACAAATAATATTTCCTTGCAAGAATTTCCTTGCGGGCATCTTGAAACTGGCCGCCATCTTAAATTTTGGAGTTGCTAATGGGCTTTATCAAAAGAGTAATCTCTAAGGAGTATTTCTGCCGATTTTGGTACTCGTATCCATTTGAAAGATTTCCCTGAAATATTTAGTTATCTGCTGCATTTCATGTCAAATTTTGCAATTAGAAAAAAAGAAGATTTATTTAAAAATTAATTAAAAATCAATTGATGACGTCAACATGACGACGTCACTTCGGATTATATATAATCCATATCTACCTATGCACCAAGTTTCAGAACGAACAGATATTTCCTTATGTATGTGTTTAAAAAAAAACCTCACATTTTTTATGACGTCATGATAGCGTCACAAATTATTCAAAATTGTGTGCATATATACACTAAACCAAAAAAGAAAGTTCCCCCCCCGCCAATACTTTTTTGTCTAACTCAAAAACTACTGAGCACCCTCTCGCTCAAATAACGACTAATCAGTACAGAAATTCATTAGCAATTCAGCCATACTCTTTATTTCGCCCAAAACGGTAATGTGTACGAATATATGCAATTTATGACAAATGATACCGAAAACAGTTGCACTTTTGTATACGTGCATGTTGCAGTTCAAACTCACCTTGCAAGTGTACAAAAATGCAACTTTTTGTTGGTATCACTTGTCATAAATTGCATCATTTTGTACACATTATAACTGTTTTCGGCCAAACAAAGAGTATGGCTGGATTGCTAAGGAATTTCTGTACTGATCAGTCATAATTTGAGCAAGATGTGCCCAGTAGTTTTTGAGTCAGACAAAAAGTATTAAGGGGGGGGGACTTTCTTTTTTGGTTGAGTGTATCTATGACCTCACAAAACTAATACAAACAGACATTTTGAATGTAGCATGTTTTGTTCCGGAGATATGCAGATGAGATGGGGAAAAAAAGAAGAAAAATTGATAAAAATCCACATGATGACTTCCAACTTTCATCTATAACACATCCCGGTATGTACATAAGTTTCAATCCAATTGGCCTTGTAGTTTTCTAGATACACTGCAAAAACACAAAATTACCATGGCCATTGTTTCCGGGACCTCAGTCAGTAGATCTTGAAGGTCGCAAACACCATAATCTGTGACTTTCCAAGGTTTATTAAAGCATCTAAGGTAGGCTGATGGAAATTCCTGAAGTGTCATCTGAAAAGAAAATAATAAATGAAAGAATCTAGTAAGGTTTCTTCTTCATGTAATCTGTTGATTACATCTATTCATTCATCTCCAAATAAGTTGCTTAGATCCAATTTTTGACAAGATTGCGACTGACTGTGTTTCAAGATGTATATCTCGGTAAAGAGTTATTACAAGGAGACAACACATGAGCACTTATGCATATCAATATTGATACATCCTTTTCCTTTTAAAACAACATCTTTCTTTGAAATAAAAGAACTAAAATATTATTATCTAAGGACTACTTCATATGTTCATTATTATTTGAAATGAGCATTTGGGAAATTCCACGAAAAAGTGGACACGGCTGGAAAGTGGAAACCGTATGAAATCTTCCAAACTACAAGCATCACAACATCACATGTGGTGTCAAATTAAAGGGGACAACAAGATCTTTCATTTGAGTGGTACGCCAATGAGATGGAATGTAGTTAAGTGTGATTTTGGGTTAAAAAACTTGGTGTTCTTTTGGCTAAAATCATGGATTTTTGGTAGTCATTTTGGCACCTTGTTTCAACATGTAAAATGTGACTGTTATTGAGAGTTTTTGTGTTTAAGGCAGAGAGAAAGGTTCATATATTATATGAAAAGAGTTTCATTATGTTGCAGTTCATCAAACTCAGATTTTATGCCGTGTTGGAAACCATGAAGAGGAAGTAACGTGAGTGACGGTATCCACCTGTAATCTAATGTCCCTTGCATCTAAAATACACCCTTATTTGATTCAAATGGGTTTTTATATCTAGCTATGGGTTGAATGATAGGTAAAATATTGTTACTTCTGTGTTGGAGACTACAGTTTGAAGAGACTGTAACAACAAACTTGCAGGAGAAGTTTCCATGTCCTTTTTTTTGTAACGTGAGTGATGACCAACAAAACACATGTCTTTAAAAAGTTAATGAATGGATTGAATTTTTCTTTCCATATTTGAGTACCCCTTACCCCAAGGTTGTTGTATGGCTGGTTGGATTCAGCTTGATCAAATACTTATGAAGCAGTGAGAGGTCAAAGTAGCCTCATGGCATATAAATGTAACGTGAGTGACGGTGGAATTGCCCATTTGTGGGTTACATGATTCTTCTCACTTGGATACGTTGTCTAGCGATATATGATGTGGATGAAATCTAATAATATATTATAAGACAAAAGATTATGCATTAAACCATGGTTTCCAATATAGCAGATTGACTCTAAGATGTAGCGGAGCAGCATAGCTCCAATATTTCCAAGAATTGTTGAGGTCGTTCAGACACCGTTTTAAATTCCCTTAAAACACCGGTTGAACTCGATTCAGTGTAACTTTCTTGCTAAAACGATGTCTGAACGCTTTTATATTTAGAACGAATCGACTTCAACTTGTCGCTAAAACGGCAACTTAAACCCCCTCGGAGGGAGGGTTTAGCACATAACCAGAATGAGTTGATCTCCCGTTTTAGCCAGAGCAGTGACCCGAAGTTACCTAACGCCTTCTCAGTTGGTACGTTTTTGTATTTATCAAACAATGTACCATGGGCTACATGGTGGGCACAAAGCACCCGTGAATCTCCTAATTCTCCTACCGTCAGCCATTCATGAAAAAAAAATCCAACTTTCAAGTCCAATCTCCGCAAGTTTTCTGACCACTTGGTCCGAGTTTCACATCGTGCTCACTTGCACACAGGATGACAAACATGCCAACGCAACAACCGCTAACCGAAGCGTAATTATTATTATACTCTAATATATTCAACTATCAGGAAAACCTTGGCGTTGATTGGTCAATATTGCAACGTTAATATCACGTGTATTTTCACGTGACTGACATGTTGTGCGGGCAAGTTGATGCAGTAAACATGGTGTGAAATCTGTTCAATGACGTGTGGTTTCGAACACTGGTTTTCGAACAACTCTTTAGAACAGAATTATGTCTTTTTGCATCACGAAAGGTGCAGAAAATAGCTCCCAAAATGTAAACACAAATGGTGTAAGGCCGATGTACAATACTTAAAAAAAAAAATGGGAAAATTGCTGTGGTGGACTAGTCACTCTCGTCACGTTCACCACGTGCCATGCTATACGACCGGCCGAGGCTGCGATGTCAAACACGGCATGGCAAAACACATGACGGTGAGAGGCTCAGACCATGTGTACCGAACTGTAAAAATGGAAGAGTGAAGGCTCTTCGGTTTTTGCCGAGGTGGATGTTCTACGTGACCTTAGAAACTGAGATAAACCACTTCGAGTTGAACTTGCTATACTTAAAACGATGTCTGGGCACTCAGTAGTTTTATTTTTATGACGGGCTTTCCGTGGAGAGCGATCGTTTTAACTTTTACTGTTTTAGCTAAAACGGTGTCTGAACATGGCCTTTGTGACAAAAGCATGAAACTTCGCATATTGGTTTTTCATGCCATGAAGACAATTTTCAGATGTGGGGATATTTCATATTTGAAATAACATACACTCATCATGAACCACTCGCACTACAAGTTTAAAGGCACTCTCTTTCGAAGGATCGTGTCCGATTGTGTCCGATCACTACAGAATTTAAGAGGACAACGTGGAAAGAGAGGAATAACAAAAATCCAAAAGTCAGCCCATGCCGGTATTACCAGTTGTTGGTGTTTTCTCATGTAATCCAACATTTAAGCATCATGATCGTGTTACTGCACGTTTTAACGTGTAGTGTCTCTCTTTGTATCAATGAACTCGATGATTGAACTTCACTTTATGGAATGCACAGAACAAGTGCATCATACAAAATGACATAATGTGTCGCCAAAACTGCATAAGCCGTCGACAACCTCCACAACGTGCTGTGTATTCTTCTAAGCTTTTACTACCTTGACACTCACCAGGTAATTGTGAAACACCTTGTCTTCATGAGTACGGTGCACTTTTGGAAGTTTCCAAAGAGAGGACTTGCCATTGAGGAACATCATGTCAATTTTTATAGATAGTTGAGCTGTAATATGTGGCAGTAAGAGTGTACTTGGAAGAAAAATCATGCAAAATGTTGCCCCATACTTGCTTGACATTGATGGAGACACACATGATAATGTATCAAAATGCTTCGCCATCCATTCGATTCATATGCAGAGAGCATGCTCACAAATATCTGCATGACTTTAAATGGACACCTGAATTTTGGTGAACAATTGCAACTGGTTTGCAGCATACTTGTTTTGAAGTACACTGTACCACAGAGATGTATCAACCACAGATGGCTGACGGCATCCTCAATGTGCAGTTGATATCAAGCGTCTGTTCAGTGTATATGTAGCTGTTCAGTGGCTGTTCAGTGCATACTCCTTGAGAAGTATACTCCTTCAAAAGTTTGCCACTTCTTGAAAAGTTTTTTGAGACATTTGAAACCTAGAAACCTATGATCCACAAGTTGTATGACTGTCAGAAGCAGCTTTTGATTGACTTTCTCACTTGCTCCATCCAGAGGCAACTAAAAGTACAAAAACTCATCAATTAAAAGTACAGGTCATCAATCAAAGACACACGAGTCATGAGAGGCGTAGATGTGGGAGAGATCTACAACTTGTAAGAACACAGGCAAAGCTGAAACTGAAAAGAAAACAGAGCACTTCTAAACCGAGAACAAAATATGACGTTAACAAACTGCAAAAAAACAATCAATCAAGAACCAATTCCAGTTGGAACTTAGGAATAACATTGCAGTACTTGAAGCTGTACCAGATGAAAATTTACATTACAACAAATGGAGCAAAATCAACAAGATATTCAACCAAACTGCCAAGGAGGTGCTTGGACCCAAGAAAACACAACAAAAGCCTTGGATAGGTACGGAATCCTGGAAGAAAGTTGAAGAAAGAAAACATCTCAAACTCAAGATTGAAAATGCAAAATCTAAGACAAAGGACCAAGAATCGAAGTCAAGCATGAGGACCGACAAAAGGAAGTGGGTGGAAAGCCTAGCAACTGATGCCCAAAGGGCTGCTGAAAATGGACAGATGAAGACTCTCTATGTAATAACCACAACTATTTGCAATGACAAACCTTGTCACGCAACTGCAGTGAAGGACAAACAAAGAAATATTATTACTGATGATGGGGGGATAAGATCACATTGGAAGAACATTTTGAGGAAATCCTCAATTGGAATGTCCCAACAAATCCAGTGATAATCGAAGCTGGGGACTTCCCAGAAGCTGAAATTATAAACACAACCAATCAGCAAGGTAGAAGTGAGAAGCTGTCAAGCAGTTGAAGAATGGGAAAGGAGGAGGAATAGACATGATTACACCTGAGTTGTTAAAAGCAGACTAAGGATGTGACTTTGTGTTTAATTGTGTAAATGTTTAGCAAACATTTAAAGAACCATTTAAACGTTTAGCCATTTCACAATGGCTGATGCCTGCCCATCGTGGTTTTTCCAGTGCACAATGTCAATGGAGGCCATCACAAAATCCAAGATGGCGGCGCCCATAGAAAACAAAAGTGACGAAAGGTTAATACTGAGTAAAAGCTTCCCCAACATTTTTTTTACAGCTTGGCACCGCTGGCTCACTGACATCAACAGATTGGCAATAATCTGATGGTCCAGGCCATACCAAATCCACTAAAGAATTTGGAACAACTCAGCTTGTTTCTGTGGCTGATGAACTTGGCAATGGACTTGCCTTTCCAGCTCATTCCACAACTTCTCCAGCGGATTCAGGTCGGGGCTTGGAGCTGCAATGGCCATTCCATTGCCTGCAAACTCCCAACTGCCCCCATTTCTCGAATGAAATCTGGGGTTGGGTCAGCCAGATATTCCTATGTAATCAATGCAATATGTGGCGGTGCATTGTCCTGCTGAAACGGGAATTCTATGCTGATCAGAAGAGATCTATTTTCGCGAACAACATCAACGAAACCTACGTGTTACCAGCCGTAGGTCACCAACGCCTACTACGCTGATGAGCTGAAGCAGCCCCAGACCATTGTTCAAGAGCCCCCGTGCTTCACAGACAGT